CCCCTTTGCAAAGTAAAATTCTTTGCCAGTGGGATAGAACATATATATCATATATGGGTCATTAGTTAGCTGTTTGTCTAATCGTCGAACATCTTCTCTCCTCTCCTCCCATCCTGTGCACGAACGAACACGTCTTTCTGTCACCATCAAACTCTCCCTCTCGTTGTGCTCTCCCCCACCCCCCCCCCCCGCTCCGCCCGAACTTCTTGGAAAAATCCCGACATGTGGACCATTGACATTTCATTTCAGAAAACCGCTTTTCGAAAAGCTTGTAATGCCTTTTACCTTGTCATTTCGCAAACGTGCCCAAAATCAAAGACTGAGATGGTGCCGTGATATGGGCTCTTTGTATCATAAAGATGTGTCCTTTCTTCAAGTCCGATCGCAACCGTAACGACTCCCTGTGTCGTGACAACCTGGTCTAGGTAACAAGGATCGTAACCCAGCTCTAGGCATTCCAGTAGTTCCCTCTGAGGGAAATGACGTTGTGCAGTATCCTACATTCAAGAAGTGACTATCGTAATATGACACTCTAGAAGCTAGGAATTTGTATCGGACTGGGGAGGGCAAGGCATTTTTGGCCAGCTGGAAGGAATGAAGGAAGACACACCCGTCCAGGTTCTTTTATTCCTCCCCGGCAAATTCGAGCCACGGAAACCCATGCTATGAGCATGAATGGATCAGCGGGGTCAGGAAGCTATCACAGATGGGCTCCGGGTTCACGCCCAACACTCGTGCAGCAAGTATGTATGATGAACCCGACGGTAACCATCCATCCAGTAATGGAAATTGGAATGGGGGAATCAGGTTGGTATTAGGCCCCGGCATTTCTCCATCGATCGACGGACGGACATGAACCACCATCAGGACGCGGAAAATGAGCCTAACGAAGGAAAAATGTAATAGCCCCCGTAAGTCCCAATGTGAAAATACCAATGTCCGAGAGAAAAAAGATCCGAATGCTTCTCCGGCGGATACAGAGTTATCGGGTTGTGGGGTTGGGACGGTTAGGACCCTGGCTTCATCCTGCTTCGCTGACCAGCACTTCTGGAAGCGTCGCTGGGAGTCGTGCCTGTGCAGTAGTGGTGCCTGTAGCCTTGATAGTGGTGGAAGTAGTGGTGGCGGTATAGTCCCGCGGTAGAATGGTATTGTTTAAAAGAGAATAGTACATTTTAAACCGCGAACGCACCCCAACGCGATATGTCCACCAGTGGCCCGCGCGAGGGTTCACTGGGACTACCGGTTGGCCCCCTAAACCTCACCCGGCTCGCATCATAAACCTTCTCAGTGTGATAGGTCGCCTAGTGATTCCCAATCGAGTGATTAATCATGATGATAAATTCCGACTGGAAAATTCCTAAGGTGCAAGAAAGCCAACAAGCATCTAGTCCAACCCCCTAGACGCTTCATATATGCGCCTAGCGAACCAGCCCGGCAAACTATGAGATGCGCAGTTGCGCACTGCGTGAGCCCAAAGCCACCGCGTGCACGGCGACCGAATTAGCAGGGCCTATCGAGAGCTTGTGCCCATGGTTATATGACCATCCCCGGCAACGAGTGTAGCCAGGTCCATTAGCTCGGTTTCCTTCCTCTGTGACGAGTTCACAGGTCTGCGTTTGTTGGGGGCTCTGGGGTGCTGGGGATGGATAGTGCGTGCTCCCGTACAGTGGTGCGAATAGCCTTAGAGCCGTGGGATCGGAAGTAGCGTACGAGCTCAGTAGTCCGTAAACGCGCCCTCAGTGCGATGGCTTGAAGCCTGCATCATAATTGATGGTATTAGACGTCCTCCCGGCGCTCCATGACCCAGGAGCTCTTCTCCAAGCGAATCATTTCCACAGTCACTAGGTATCACTCGCATCCAAACAAGTTCAGTTGGGATTCCACAACTTTCGAGTAGAGAAATAATTCTCTCCCTTCCACTCTGCCTTTTCCTTGTATCATGTCGCATTTTATGTTGTAGCGGGCACTACGAATAATCCCGTGTCGGGAATGTATATTTCAAGAACCGGTGTTCTGTGTCTAAGGGAATGAAACGTCTGCTTTGCACCACTAGCTAATCTGCAAGCACACTGCCGATAGAACCCTAGACCTGTCCCATAGCGCAAGGACTCATTGTGTGTTCCAAGCAGTTCCCAAGGGAGGGATTGAAGAGAGGTATCAAAAGCTACCGTGCAGGAGAGGCATGAGTGAGGGCTACCATACGCACTAGTTGAGGTTACCAGAAATATCACCCCGCTGGTGATCTCTCCTCCACTATCAGACAAACTTCTCTGAAAAAACCTCTACATCCCGCCTTACTCTCATAATATTCGTCCCGGAATTTCTAGTGTCCTGACCTAAACAAGCACGACGGCCATTACCCTAGAAGCAATGCTCTCCTCATCTCCGGGAAGATTTTGTGCGCAGCTATTATAAGGACGAATGAAAACATGTGATCGCCTACCCCCCAACACATGTCTAATTTTTCCTGTAGAGGAAACACGGTTCGGACTGTTTCGAACACTGGTAGGATTTGGATCTCACCCCGGAGGTGCAAAGATGGGGTGTATGGGTGAATAAACGGACCGCCCGCGATGAAATAAAGTCACACAGTAGGACGTAGGGGTGGCTGTTGTGACAGTGAGAATGGGGGGATACTGGGGTTGGAAACTGGAATTGGACATGAACAGAGGGAAGGTTCCCGCAGAGGTTGCTTCTGAATTCCTCCCTCGACGTTGAGCCGATAATGCAATATACGATAGGAAGGCTAGAGACTCGAAAAAAATCATAGGGAACAGCAAGAATTGCGAAAGGGTAAATTCTTTCCGCTTCGGGTAACCACGACTGGTGGGTTACCTGAGGGGTGCCAGGACGTTGAGACGATCATTTCCAGGCTTAGGATGGAAAGCATACCAACGTTGGGGACCAAACGTAGGCAAAGATGCCAAAGTGCCCAATAGCAGTAACAACACAGACTCTTCCAACAGCTCTATCCATAGTGTTCGGCTGCTCATACGACCAAGCCGTGAATTTCTTCAACGGGTAGTTCTTGGCAGCCATCAAATACAAAAGTGGCAGATTTGTGACGGCGATGCCGCCAAGTCTATCTGCAAAGATAACCATTTTCAGCGGGTGGAAAGGGACCATGTACAAGTACTATGCAGCGGATAGAAGAGATTTACAGCATAACAGCCAACTATCGGGGTGCACCTGCAATGATGGGGTTTTCCTCGTCTCCTCGATTGCGGGAGGTGCTGGACCCTGAAGGGGGCAGCAATTCTGATGAACTGCTCGAGTAGACGACGACGGCAATGGCAACGGAACTCCACCACAATTGATTGGAGCTCCCGGCATCACCCGCTGTGCACTCCTAGAGCCATTCTTGGGTCGCAGGATTGCCTCCGAAATCTATCACGCAGAACTCGTTCTCCATGATGGATTGCAGCTACAATTGTAGTAGACTAGCAACAAGTAAGCAACCGTAAGATAAGACGAAACGCCTAGAGAGCAATTGTCTACACCCAGGACTATTTCTTCAAGGGAAAGCATTTGGAGGGCGTGGGGGGGCGTCGATAGGGCTGTCGGGTTTGTTCTCCGCGGGGATTAATGTGGTGGGAGCGTCAAACTCGGACACTCTGTTCAACGGCACGGACCACTGCATTATTATACCGATAGGAGGTCCAAAGGTCCGCAGTTCATACAAGTAGTCGTACCAAGGGGTTCTCGAGGGGGCTTGGCTCCTAACCTTGGAGCATGTTAGGGCCCTGTACGGTACTCGAGTACAGTGCACAAGTATGGAACGGCTAACGAACGGAGTTGTGCTAGCACGGTAGGGGCGTGGAGGATGAGGAGTTAGAAGAAGGGGGGAGAGATAGGGGGAAAGGGGGGCCGAATCGGAAATGAGTAGAAGGCAAGGGTGAATGGTGAAAAAAAGACGGACAGATGATTTGCGGGGCCCTGTAGAAAAGGGGCGCGGGATTAGCGGACGTTGCGGCGGTGAGAGCCTCCCGAACTTCTTGCGGTCGTCAAGTTCCCTGTGCGAGTATGCTATCTTATCAACAACCCCTTATCAGATCCGACCATTGACTGGACCAATAAACGGACAGCAGTGACTGGTCACGAGACAGAGTGACCCCGCAGAGTGCCAAAGACTACGCCCATGGTCCCTATCAAGAAAAGGCAGTCGAAACCAAATCTGCCATTTCGGCTAAAGTACTAGAGTACTTTACTAGTATTTGCAAGAGCACAAGTGCCCACTCACAACCCGTCTCAGGGAACAACATTGTGCAAACATGCAGGTAAAGGCAGACGCTGTCTCATCTCGTGTGGAGCAGCAGGTAGGGACCGGAATCAAGGGGGAGCCGGACATGGCTCTGACTGCTGTGAAAGCGACTCGAGTAGATGCGAGGGTGAGAAAAAAGAAACTTCAAGACAGCGTTTGGAAGATTTCAGAGCGTTCTCAGCGCACCGTGCTTACATCACTCTCCGCCAAGGAAAAATTTGCTTGCACGGGTCGAATGCCATTTGCTTTAACTTCCCATCTGTCAACCCAAACACTAAAAGGAATTCCGGTGACTTCGGATGAAAACGGCCGCCTTCTCCGCGCTATTTCCCCATACTTGTTTTATTTATCTATTTGTTTCTTTCTTTCCTTTTTCCTTTCCTTTTACCCACCATTGCGGTGATATCCAGCATTCAGATTCTTTCTTGTCATTGCGTGGAGTCACTTGGCCCGCTCGCCCCACAAACATGAGCTGAATGCAGCAGAAGTCAAAATACCGCGACACCGGTTTTTGCTATCAGCCACGGCACTCGGAGTAGAGGGATGGAGACCGCCGGTGAGCCCAAAAGCTCAAGCTCAAAGGCCGGGCTGACACTCTTTGAGGAGTAAACGGGCCCTTGTGAAAGGTGATGGGCCGGAAAAAGGGGAATTGTAAGATCCTAGCATCAAAAGTCAAGGGTGGACTGGCGTTTTGCACCTATGATGCATGGCTTTAAGGGCCGATAACTCACCCTGAAAGAAGGATTGGATTTGTCAAGGCGGCTTTTTTGTCCTTTACAGTACTCGTACAATTGCTTGGCCTGTTCCGGTAAGAGTCATTTGATTCTTTTCCCTTTGTATGGGTGCTGATGGCTGGAGATATGCTTTCTGAGATGCCTCAGTGTGGAGTACTCGTACCTTTTCCACAGAAAACAGTACTTGTATGATTTGAGGTATCCTTTGCCCGTCCTAATGCTTCTAACCTTTCTCTCTCAAAGTGTAATGGTGGAGCTTGATATTTTTATCGGAACAAATTCCATATGGCTCCAAGAGAATTACTGATTTTTTTTGCTTTTCTCCCCCAGAGCAATCGGGGCAAGGTTTCCGGACTTAAAGTTGGTCATTTCTTATGTGAAATGCGAACCTACTCATGACTTTAATCCCGGACTCGTACTAGTACGCGTTCAGCACTGGACGGGTGTCTACGAGTACGAGAGGCCAAGGAGAGCTTCACAACTCTCACTGGAGGAAATAACCTGTCAGCCACTCAGCCTCCGCCCAATCTCCATTTTTCCACAATCAGTGCCACCATCTCTTCCTCCCCCCCTCCCCCCCCCTCCGGCAGCCTATCGGGAGCCCCCGGTGACCGGTCCTTGATTCATTTCATCAATACCCTCCGCTCTGACAAACACGGGCACAAGCCCTGCTACAGACCACATCTACCTTCCGCATGACACGTTTTTGCTGTCGACATGATATTTTATCTCATTCTGTACGAATACCATACCGCTACGGTACTGTACTCGTGTTCGTAGCCGTTGCCCACCCAGTCTGCCCGTACAATAGTTTCTGAGCAAGCCCCCTTGTTACAGAAGATTCCTTTTCTTTTTTTTTCATTCATTTCACCTTTTCTTTTTTCGCTTTCGCCGCCGGAAGCTCAGAATTAGCTTCGTTGCACAAGGGAGTAGGCACACGGAATGGATCCTAGTTTAACCGGTCGATCCGGGGCTAGTGCTTTGCAGATTGTGCTGGGGGGGTGGAGGATTACGGTGTATTCGAGTACGGTACTCGGGTGGAGCAAATTTCATTTGGGAGGCGGGAGGGATTGAGGGTTCGCTGGATGGTCCATTTTGATATTCCTCATTTGGACAGGTCGGAGGCAAGAAGGAAGCCACAACTTTATCGTACACACATGCAATACATTACGAGTACAGTACGGTACCCCTACTCGAGTACGGTATATGGCATGAAGTACTAGTACTAGTACGGTATCTGAAATTGAGACCCCGTTTTTTTGCTGGTAGAATTGTTTGTGCAGCGCGCTGCCTGTTTCCGGTTACGGTCGCACCCTGTTGTCCCGGACCTCGCTCTCCCGGATTCTTCGCTGTCCCGGATGAGTTTCTATGAATTATAAATTTCTTCACACCAGAACCAAACCTGTTGTCCCGGATAACTCGCTGTCCCGGACGGATTCTCAGGATTTTGGCCGTCCGGGACAACGGGGTGCGACTGTAGTAGTACTTGTTGTCGGATACAAGTACCGTAAAAACTCTTGGAATCCACTATCTCGGACAGCCCGTGATCCCACGATAGGTTTAGCTCGACAGGTTAGCAAAATTGCGAATACCGGTTAACGAGATCCAGCCCGTCCAGTGGGCTGATTTTTCACTGAGAAAACCTTTTGGATACCATGCGCTTGGCGGTAAGCCCTTTCGGATCCCATCCCCCGGGAAATATACCATCGAAAAAGTGAAACCTTTGCAACAAACAACAAAATATTTACACATCTCCACCCATCTTTTTATTGCTCAAAAATGCAAATAAATTAAGAGAAGTCCTGGAAAAAAATAATGAAATACTCACAGCCTTCTAGTATTTTTAAAATATTTCTCCACAACTTTTTAAGATGAACTGGGCAATACTAAGGGTATTTAGCAATCTTCTCAGAGTTCTTGGCAAAGGAAGATAATTGTGTACGAGTACAAAGGTTTCGCTTTTTCGATGGTACAATTCCCGGTCAATGGTATCCGAAAGGGTTTTCTGCCAAGAGCATGGTATCCAAAAGGTTTACCCGATTTGGAAATGGCTAATCCAGGTGTCATCACCACCAGTCGCCCTAACATCCTTGAGTCTATTACTGCTATGAGGAACAATAATGCCACCTTCTGCGGTATTAGGTTTGTGGTTGAGAAGAGTAAGGCTGTATTGGCTGCTCTTAGGTTTGAGTAGATATTTTTGAGGGAGGGACCTTGGAAGGTCAGGGTGTTCATGTGACACCAATCTACTGCTGTTTGTGGTAAGTATCTCCAGGTGGTACATCATCAGATTACTTGTAGCTGTCCCTCTCATTGTCAGTTTTGCTTTGGCAACCATCTTTCTTGTGAGCATGTTTGCCGTACCCTTAACTGTCCTGGCATGATGGGGGAGGCATGTGGCCATACATGCCAGCTGTGCTTCTTGTGTGACAGGTCTGATTATTTTGCTGGACACCCAAGCTGTCAACACACTCATCTCCCATCCTTGTCCGCTGCTACTCCGGTGGCTGGGGGTTCTCCAATTTTGGCTAATGATATAAGCTGCATCGGGGTTGCTGACTACTCTGTGAACTGTGAAGGGAAGAAGGTGGCAGGGAATCGTCCTACGCCACAACCTGACTGTATAATTGGGGATAAAGAGGATCCCTACAAGCCCGGTGGCCAGAAATGCTATGCCTGCCGTGAGGTTGGTCATGTCCAATATGACTGCAAGGGTAAGAAGATTGCCTGAGCCCCTGTTCCTCGCCCTATTGGTATTTTGAAACCATTGGTTTGGACTGCTACCACTACCGCCAGTGAAATGATTAATAATTCCATGCAACCTGCCATGGCATGGTTCAATGAGGATACCAGTAATGGTGGCCCTATAAGTAGGGGTGGATCCGCTAAATCATCTATTTAATGCTTATTATGACCATGGCGTTAAATGTGTGGTGGAGTGTAAGAAACCGAATGTTGGTGTTTGATGTATTTTCTTATGTTGATTTGTTTTTTATTTTGGAACCTCCTGTTGACGGTGATAGTTGTTATGTTACGCATGAGGCTGATGGGTGAGATTTGTTTTCCTTTGTACCTGAGTCTAGTGTTGAGGTGTTTGTATACTCGTC